AATAAAGTAATACGAATGACTACCAACTAATAGAGCAATTTAAAAGTTTTTAGCAAATCTTCGCAACAGGCTGGTAACACCTGAAGTAACTACCGATAGAGCAGAATACAGTTATATAAATTACTATGACACGTCCTCAAATGCTGGGTCAGTTCCACGTGAGCCTGATCAGACTCGGATGCCTTCGCGAGGGATTTTAAAAAATAAACAGGTTTTCAAGACCAGTGGCTTCACTTAAGCGCTTGTTGTTTTAATGTATGCACGCCGTGAATATATCTTGAAAATATCAAGCTACTAACAGCTTTTCGGCATTGGGCCTTATTACTTTATTTCTAAGCTTTTTCGTCAAAGAAATGTTCATTTTTAGAGTGCAGATCTGGAGCCGCGTGCGGCAACGACGCCGATTTCGGAAAACGGTCGAGGGTTGGTTGGAGGGAAAGACCGGTCACCGGCGACGTCGGGTATCGTCATTGAAAAGTGTTGCTTCTGAGCAAGAACGTCCTGGCCATTTGTTCTTTCTAAACAACAGGTTTTACTTTTTAAGGAGTGAAAAACATGTTGGATCGGCTGAAACGACGTCTGTCGACAGAGAAGAGCCTGAGTCCAGCACCGCAGGAACCCTTGGGTCATATTCACACGCAGCAAGGATCCTCCGTCGGGCTTCGGCACCGCTTCGGCTTGGGTACCGGCCTGGGGAATTCTCGCGAAGGTTTCCACGGGCCTAACGAGCTCGCCTATAGTAACTTTAACGAAGGTAGGAACTAAGTCAACTTTTCAAATGAGCGAAATATTGTTACTTACATTACTGATTGTTTAGTTACAAAATTTCGCTGTTTTTTTCAAAGGGAGTTAATTGGAACTTTTGAAACGGCGCAATAAAAATAAAACAGTTTTTTCAGGCCGGAAAACACCAGCAAAAGTAGAGGAAGCAAAAGTGAAGAAACGATCGTTTCTAAATCTTGGCAGAAGGAAAACTGCAGAAATCAGCATAGGTGCTGATGGAAAAATAGTTACTTCGGGGTAATCTTCACATTGAAAGTTTTGATAGTACCAGAATCAAAGCTTACTAGGAAATGTTTTCAAGTCGTGCATTGCGAACCGGATAAAACATTATCCAAATTAAAGCCATAAATATTTTTTTGAAACAGGCAAAATAAGCTTGATTCGACTGAAGTTTTTTGGCACCGTTGACAGCTCAACGCAATTTTTATATATTGGTTGTGAATTGATGCAGTAGGAATATAAAGTACACAACCTTGTCGATGTTTTGGTCAACTAACTTGTTTTTTCCCACCAGTCGTTTTTGCAGGGTTGATGACGATTTGAAACGTCCATCTTCGCCAATTGAGAAAATTAAATCATTTTTCCGCAAAAGTAAAGAAAACACTTCGGCAAACGACCACGGCAACAATCAGAGTAATGTGAACACAAATAATAATATAAATAATAAAACTATAAATAATAATATTAGTGTTAGCAATAATCCATCAACAATAACGAGTAATTCTGCATATCCGCACCTAAGAGACTATGTTCGTTATTCACCAGTCGAATCTCAACCTTCGACGACAAACAGGTTTTAAACAGCTCCATTTTATCATACCCTCTAAATTATCTCAAGTTCTTTGCATTAGCAATGAAATTTTCTAGATACGGGTTGACAGACAAAGTATTTGGTGTATATCCGTCATCTAATCTTTCGCCAATTGCTGCAAGAGATAGCTACGCATCACAGTACAGGAAGTACACAGGTTCTGATTAAAATTTTTTCTGTAGAATACTTTGTTGACGATTTTTTTCAAAGTGGCTTTTTTACCAAATTTTCTGTTGTGTTTCAAGAAGAACAAGATAAAAACAGGCCAAAAATTCTATTGAGGTTCCTGAAGGTACGCGAACTGTTAGGTTTTGACTGTTTTGAAAAATAAGAGACAGTTATTTATATTTTTTCAAAACTGTCAATTTTTACCATAATTTTCTCTTCTAATTACACTTTCAAGGAAAGCGTATTGAAAGAAGTTCGAAAATTTTAGAAAAAATTGTGTTCGAAAAAATTCCTCTACTTTTTTTTGCACTGTTGTGATGCTTTTCTTTCAATAAACAACTGCTAGGAGGAATTTCCCTGCAAACACCAAGTATCATAGACACACTTGGGCTGATTTTTTCCAACGACTTACCGTTTTGCACAGCTTCTCTTTTCTAGTAACTATCATATGACATCGGGTTTTTTTGTTACAATTTCGATATGATCTTTTTGTTGTTGTTATTGTCTTGAAGCTATTGTTTACGCTATTTTACATAAACAGTAGCTTCAAGACGTAGTTGGTTCCCTGTCGTGTCAAGATGGTTGTTCTGCGAGGATTGCGATGTATTATGACGGCTATATTTCGGTGCTTTATGGTTACTAAAAATTTGATTCTATTAGCAAAATCAATCATCTTTTGAAACACTGAATGAACCGTCGTTTTCTCCAAGACTCTTTTTTATTTGGTACTTTTTGTTCATCACTGACGGCAACAACTGTCTGAGACCTGCTGTGGTAAATGAATGATTGCTATGGGTTAGGAAGATGTCATTGAATGAGAAAAAGTAAAAAAATAAAAAACATATTAGTGGGTGAGATAGTGGCTGCTGCCGCATTATGAGAAACGGATTTTAACAATCAAGAAGAAATAAATTGTATTGTGTTTACCAATAATAACGTTTAGTTAAGCTTACCTTTTTTTTTTCTCCTTCTTGATAAATAATAAAAGGGAAGAAATTACTACCACTACTGTCTTGTATAGCAATTGAAAAACACTGCTTTTAGGGAGTATAAACGGGAATGTATCGAAGAATTTGAATCGATACAGCTATACTCCGGGGTACGGCAGCGATAGACCGATGCGGCACTGGTATGAAGAATCCCATTTATATTAAATGTGTGTCTGTGTTTCCGTTTGTGTGTGTGTGTGTGCGCGTTGTGTGTCTGTGTGTGTGTGTGTGCTTCTACGCATGTCTATGTCTGTGAGAGTGTGTGAATGAGTGTAACATATATTTTAAACTGTACACTTTTTAGTACATTTATTGCCTAGTCTTTCTCCAGTCAGTTTTTTTTTGTCTTGTTTGTTCCCTTTTTTTTTCTTTTTTAGTATTCTATTCATCCTCGTCAGAAACAACAAAAAAAAGAAGAAAAAAAAGGGATAAATCAGAAAGAAAACTGATATCGAATAAAAAGTTTTGTTATGTCGAAACCAATGGGTATTTTTTTCTTTTTTTTTTCTTGCTGAGCAACGTTCGATCATTTTTTGCTTTTTCTTTGAGAGCCACTGAAGGGATGATTGAAACTTTGATTTGTAAATTAATAGTATTGGCAAAAGTATTTATTATTATTATTATTATCATTATGATTGCTATTATTATTATTGCCACTATGATTATTATGTTGTTTTGATGTAAGTATCATTACTATTACGACTAATTATGAATAATAACACTACGGAACACATGTGGTTTTCTTGTTCTTTTTTTTCGCTCCAATTATTTTTTGCTTTTTTTTTTTATTAGACGTCTAAAAATAGTTGTCCCCCGAACAGACGTTTTACGCAACTTAGAAACAAAATTTACTTACTGTTTTTTATCCTTTTTTTCTGTTTTTGTCGATCCATTGACAATAAAAGGATAAATTAAATCAAAAATGAAAGAGTGCAAATTTGTTGCTGCACTAAAAAAAAAAAGTTTATATATAGATAAATCTATCAAAAGAAAAAAAAAATATGATAATAAACAAAAATAAAAAATTTTTCATCTTTTCATTTTTTTTTCCTTATTTTGATATATGCCAAGTTTTTTTTCATTTCACAAAGTTAGGTTTGCCAAAAAAAAAAAAAAAAAAGCAAAGTATTGCCATGAACAATTCTGTTCCTCTTTTTTCCATTTTCTTTTCTTGTTTCTTGGTATAGTTGAAAGAAATCTGTGGTTTTTTTCTGCCATTTTTTGGTATCCCTAATTCTCTCTTTTTAGCCCCTTTCAACCGTCATTCTTTCTCTTTCATCCGCCCTTCCCCCGCTTTTTTCGTGCCATCGTTCAGCCTTTGCTGTGAAAAAAGAAAAGCCAAAAAAAACTTTGTTTTCCAAAAAGCGGCCTCAGAAATTAAGTTTTGCTGCAGCGGGTAGTAAACGTGTATTTTATTGCCTTTGATTGATTGATTGATCGGTTGAATTCATTGACCGATCCATAGATAAATGATTATTGATCATGGATTCTTTGCTCATCTCTTAATTGCAATATAATTATTGCTATTATTGTTACTGTTTAATAATTGAAGAAAGATTTTTTTTTATTTTTTTGTTCGACTCATTTCAAATGTTTTTTCTTTTCTTCGGTCTCTTTCTCTATTATAAGCCTTAAAATTTTTTTTACCTATATATCAGTTTTTTTCTGACAGATATTTGCAGTCAATATTTAGGTTTTCTGATGAAGGGGGAGATTTTTTTTTTGTTGACGTAAAATATCATTAAATTTATTCTTATTTTCTGAAAAATCTGCTAGAGCTTTTTTTTTTTTTTTT